GCGCGCGGGCGGCGGCCTAGAGGGGTGTCGCGGCGGCCTAAGGGCGGGCTGCGACGCTCTGGGCGGCAGTCGACGTGCGGCTAGGGGGCTGCTCGTGGGCGGCGACGGTCGCGCGGGCGGCTAGGGGTCGGCGCGCGCTTAAAAACGGTCGCGCGCGGGCTGCTAGCGGGCTACGCGCGCTAAAAGAAAAGGCCGCGCGCGGCACTAGCGAGCTGCGCACGGGCAGCAGGAGGAAGAGAGGCGCACGAGGGCGCACTAGGAGAGAGGCGCTCGAGGGCGCTAATGAGATACGGCGCTCGAGGGCGCTTCTAGTAGAACGGTGGGCCCTATCGTTCGGTCCTAGGTTACGACCTAGGCTCGTAATACCATGTTAGAAAGTAAGAACGAGAATGGATGGAACTAGCAGAAAGTGGGTACAAGTAGGAAACCCTAAGTTTGTTGTACCCCCTAAGGCTAAACCCACTATAGCCTACACAATGTAAACATATAATGTTTGACACAGACGCCAGAGGAGGCGGAGCGGCAGCGACTGCGTCTGCGCGACCTGCCCAACCCAGCACCTGCACGCTTGGTTCGTGGTCCCTTACCGTCCCTCCTGTTCCCCCCGTTCAGTCCCTTTCCTCGTCCCAGTGGGCTTGTCGTTCTCCCCTCAGTCGTGCTGTTTCTCCAGAGCCCCGTCGGTCTCGTTACCGTGCTGACGGGCGCCGATGATGCGGGCGACAAGCAGAACCGGACGAGCACGAGCGGCTACGTGTTCGTCTTCGGAGGGGCCGCAATCTCCTGGTCGAGCCAGTGCATCAAGTGCGCAACGCTCTCCTCGACAGAGTCAGAGTATGTCGCGGCCACGGACGCCGGCAAGGAGGGGCGTCGACTGCGCTTAATCCTAGCAGAGTTCAAGTTGCTCGACGCTAGGAAGCCGACCGTCCTCCGCGTGGACAACAAGTCGGCGATCACGGTCGCTGAGGGCTTGGGGCTGACGGGCAACCTCAAGCACATGGAGCGACGCTACTCCTGGCTGCATCACATGGTGAGGCGCGGGAAGTTCGTGCTGAAGTACATTCCGACCACCGAGCAACCGGCGGATTTCCTGACGAAGGCGCTGCATTTTCCGGCTTTCAACCGGTGCTCTGTCGCCATCGGCCAAGTTCGTCTGGCCGACGTCGGCGACGGCGACGATGAGGTGCAGCAGTAGGTGCCGTGCCCTTCTGCACGGCTGGTGCAGTGACGGCGTGCTGCGTGTGGGGTGCACGCCGAGGACGAGTTTTCTCCATGGAGTACTGCCGTGTGGGCTGGAGGCCCAAGCGTGAGCGCGACAGGGGAGTGTTAATGAGAATGGGGTGTTGGCCCCGCCCTCGCTTGGGCAACGCCGACGACTTGGTCGGATGTACGGGAGTAGCAGCCGACCGTTCATAGTGGGAGAGCTGCTCGACATGCTTCGTCGAGCTGCAGGGGACAGCTGTGGTGTTGCTGTCGACCAGGGAGCTCAACAGCTGCAACTGACTGGTCTGGGCGACGGGTGGGCCGTCGACCGGGAGGGGCAATTCGACCGGGAGGTCGACGGAGCAGTCCGTCGACCTGACAAGTGAGCAGCGACCAAGCTGTGCTGGCGGTCGACCAGGCTAGTTGCAGGGTTGCTAGGTGCCTGATGTAGTCATTCTTGTCGTTGTGAACTCAACCATTCTGAAATTCCAACTTTGCTAATGAAACTCTTGCCAACTTCTCCCGTGAATGCGCAAGTGCTAATGAACGCAAGCAAAGCTACGATCACTCCTAGTAGTTCGTGCCAACCCCCCCCGTAGTCTCGCTCACTACCTTTGTCGAGTGACTCTCCGCACATCGGAGCCGATCGTCGAGCCCGGAAGGAGCTTTTGAGTCATCGGATTCGTCACCCCACAGGCATCAAGAGGATCGAGTTCTTCGTTCGCTGGAAGTACCGCACGCCAACTGAAGATAGCTGGGTGCCCCTGGCCAACATCGAAAACCACCCTGCCCTGCAAGTGTACCTGAGGAGCCGGGGTTTTCGCGATATACACGCACTCGCGTAGCGGAGGGGGCTTCTAGAGGAGGGGGGTAGTGTAAAGATTTTTTCGGCATTCCTTACCGCGTTTTTCAACATCGCGTACAGCAGCAGCCGTTGTTCACTCGTTACTGATCACGGGGCTTCGCTAACATTCGCGCGCACTATTCACCAAACCATGCACCGCTGGCCCGGCCGTGTCGGCCTACGCTTCGGGACTAGCCCGAACCTCGATGCCAGCCTAGCAATATCTAGCTCGCGCGCACCGCGTAACCGTTGCATGTTTCGCACATAAGTATTCGCTCATGCCTTACGCTCATACTTCGTACTCGTTTGACAAGTGCAATCCTCTCTATCTCGCTCCATTACACTCGTAACACCTAGAGGTTTTAGAACAATGGATTGTTGTACCGGTACTAGAAAGGAAGAATAGCACCCGGGGGACAGTGAGGGGTTTCAGTTGCCGCAGCTCATCATCCAGCTCGACGTTGTTGACTGCTCCACCGTCATTCAAACGTAACGCCGACGTTTGCAAAAACCGTTCAATGGTGCCAGCTGGACCACAGGCCAATCGTGGGTGCGAACCTTGCAACTGAAGGCCAAGGAGGGAAGGAAAACGGAACCGAACAGTGTGGCGATGGCGATGTCACAGAAACTAGGGCCTTGGCCAATCAGAAACAAGTCATTCGGTTCTCTGTTGCCCACATCATCTACCCACCGACCGTCGTGGAGTTGTTACTGTACAGTATCAGTACAGTTTTCTGCTCCAAAGAACGACCCTCCAGGGATACACTGTACCACACAGAAACAAACTACACCGAGGCATATTTCTTTTCTGCGTGGGCGTCCCAGTTTCCTCGAAAGGATGGGCGAGTGGGTGCTGGATGCGCTGGCGGCAAGGACAGCGATTGCACGCAATGGTCATGGCACAATATGGTGCATTGCGTTTTGGTGTGTTTGAGTACGGTTCACAAAGTCGCAGTGACACTTCTTTCGGGTTCTGTGCAGCATGAACAAACACCACGCGACGCGAGGGGATGAAAAGGAAAGAAATCCGTGCTGGACAGGTCACATCAGAGTAGCAGCGCAATCGCTCCTCCCATGCTGCCACTTCCGATTCCGAGTGCCAGCATCGTGGAAACTGGGGAACAGAAATACCTTCCCGATGAATTGATCACTACAGTTCTGTACTCTCGCGTGCTCAGCTCAGAGCCTCAGACAACGCCTCCCTCTTTCTGTCCCTGAGGCGTCTTTGAGTATTCCTGTATCTGTAAGGCCTTTCACTGGCAGTCGCTTTTCGCGCTAGACACGGTTCCTCTTTTAATTTCCCCGTTGCATTGTGGTAGTGAATAGTGCTAGAGAAGGATTGCATAGCCACTCGTTACTGGCAGGAGTAGGCAGGACGAAAGAACGAGAAGCTTTTAGGAGCCATAAGAATTTCACCTAAACAAAAGAGTAGTACTAATGGCTGACTTCTCTCCACTTTGTCATGGCTCCCCTGGTACCTCCAATTTCTGCGTGACTTTAACGAACGACGCGGGTCGGGAAGTCTCTCCATGGCACGGTGTGCCTTTCCGGGCCGCCTCTGGCGCTTTCCACGTCGTCTGCGCGACCCCGAAGGGCGCCTGGGCTGATTGCCACGTGGCAACGCAAGACAGGCTAGAGCCTCTGCATCATTGCTTGAAAGAGACAGAAGCGTCGTCTGGTACTAGTAACGGTAGCGCCGACACGTGGCAAGTTGTCGAGCTCCCGCGTCCTTCCCCCTGGAACTGCGGAATCGTTCCGCAAACATCCGCGGCGCGGCGCGTGTCCGCGGCGGAAGCTGGTCTTCCCTCCCCATCTGCGCAAAACTACTTCCTCTCGCCAGAAACCAGTTCCTCGCGAGAAAGCGGAAACAGTAGCGCGTGCAGCTGGGGGGAGATCACGCGCCGCGCTTCGCTGCCCTCAACTCCCGCAACCCACGCCGCGCCGTCCGCCTCCGCGTGTGACGGGCCAGTGGAAGTGGTGGAAATCGGGGGGCGCGCGCGCGCTATCGGGGAGGTGTATGCGGTGGAGGTGGTAGCTGCGATGGGCGTGCAGGACAGGCAGAGCGGCCGCCTGCTGTGGACCGTTGTGGCCGTGGCGCGCGACGATGCCGCTGCGCCGCTCGAGCGCCGCGCCGGGGATCGCTATCAGGCTGGGAGGATGGACGGCGGAGAGGAGGGGGAGGGGGAGGCGGACGGGGAAGAGGAGGGGGGAGGGGACGAAGGGGGAATGGGAGTCGACGGGGGAGAGTGGGAGGACGGGTGGGACGGGGAGGGTGGGGAGGATGGGGAGGGTGGGGAGGATGGGGAGCGCAGCGGCGAGCGGAGGCGAAGGCGGGGCGCGCCTCTGCGCGTGGTGCTGCGAGAGATAAGGGAGTGGCTCAAGTCCCAGCAATCGAGTCAAGGTACGACTAGGTACGACTAGGTACGACTAGTATTCTGCTGCTGGACCATGTATGGCCGCAGCGATGTGGAGGTGCATCATCGCCGCCGTTGTTGCCTGCTCTGGAGGCTCACGCGGCGATGTCGGGAGCGCCGCCGTTGGCAGGTCACGATAGCCGTTGGCGGTGTCAATGCTCGCGCGAGCTGGCGACACGACGCGCACTTGTGCACGACTCTCGCCTGTGTACCGCACCGCATCGCACTGAAATGGGGCGTTCTGCAGAGTTGGTCATTTGTGCCAGTCTGCGTGTTCGTTTCGTGTCCTCAACGCGACGACGCTTCCTTTATCGCGCCTCATGGCTTCCAACAATCCACTTCTCCTCTCCTTACCCTCCTCCTTTCGCCACTTCTCATTGTTTCCGCCTCCCTTGCACTTCCTCCCTCCGTTAATCTTTTATGCTTCCCGCTTTCGTTTTCCCGTTCCGTTGCTGCCTTCCAACTCCCCCTTTCGCTTCCCGCTTTCCCTTCCCCCTTCCCCTCCCCCTTCCGCTTCTCTATTCCGCTTCCCGCTCCGCCAGAGCCGCTACTCGCGCAGCACCTGTCGCCGCGCGAGGTCTTCTGCGAAACCGACCCCCTGCACGTGTCAGCCGTGCTGCTGGACGCGCACGCCGCCTGGCGGAGCCTCTGGGGGGAAGCGCGCGCGGGGAGACCGCGGAGTGCCTCCGGGGACGCGGACGCGGGGGGATGGGGAGGAGCGCGGAAAGGGAATCCCGCACAACGGGCGGCGCAGGGGGGAACACCGCTGAGGGGGCGGTCAGGTCCGTTACAGAGCAGGGTCTGGGAGTACGGGCAGGAGAAAAAAAACCCGCTGGGCAGGAAGAAAAGTTGGCAGGGCTGGACGGATGACCCGCGAGGAGAGCTGGAGGCATGGCCTTCCGTTAGTAGCTGCTTGCCGTTAGGTGGCGATGCTTCTGGTGGTGGTGTTGGCGGTGGTGGTGGTGGCAGCGGTAGCTCCAGTGGCGTTTCCATGCAAGCAAGCTCGGCTGACTGTGCCAATCGCTACTCCCCCATTCCTTACTCCGCCCCGCTGCCCAACTCCCTTCTTCCCCACTCGTGCCCCTTCCCCAACCCCTCCTCGCTCCCCTCCTCCTCCTCCCTCCCCCAATCGTCCTTCCTCCCCCCTTCCTCCTCTCTCCCCCTCTCCTCGTCGCTCTCCTCCTCCACCTCTCTCCCTGCCGCGTCGTCGTGCATCAAGAGGGCTGTGTTTGGAAGCTCGTTGCTGGCAGCGTGGGATAGCGATGAGGGAGAGGAGGGGGAGAGGGATGAGGATGAGGATGTGTATGGTCATGATCCCCATGCCCATGACCGTATCGTTTCCACTCGAGACGGGCCCCATGCTGCTGCTGCGGCTGCTGCTGCTGCCACACATGCTGAATCAGAATCCACTGTTGTTGGCGCTGCCAGCACACGGGCAGACAGCAGCAGCGCGCATTACCAGGCTGCGCTGGTCAGGCCTGGGAGCAAGGCAGGGCGGAGGAGGGAGGCTGCGGAAGGGCCTGGAGGGGCGGCGGGGGCGGCGGGGCCGGCGGGGCTGGCACGGGAGGCGGAAGGGCGTCGTAACCTGCGGCGTGCAATCATGGGGCGGCTGAAGCGCACAGCGCACAGCTGGAAGGAAGGGTTCGGTGGGGGGAGAGCAGGCGCGGAGGAGAGGGAGAGGGAGAGGGAGAAAGTAAGGAGCGGGAGGAGTGGGAAGAAGCGAGGTGGGTCGGATGACTTGAGCTGTGTGCGGGAGGGCAGTGCGGTAGAGTGGAGTCATGCGGAGTGCAGTGCGGTGGGAGGTTCCCTCCTGCGGCTGAGAAGTCATGAAATCCGATCCCTGGACTGGGGAGGGGAGAGTGCTGGGCCAAAGGGGCAGCAGCTGAGGGATATGGAAGGTGGAGAAGTTGAAGATTTGGAGGAGAGGGAGGGGGTGCATGGTCAGAGGAGATCCGAGGATCTAGGGTTTGGGAGTGTGGATAGTGACGAGGAGGGCGAGGAGGAGGAGGAGAGGGAGCTGGATGAGGCTAGAAGAGTGAGGATGGAGCAGCAGATGAGGGCCTTGCTGCAGGAGGAGAGCGGTGAGCAAGGGGAAGGGACGGGGAGAGGTGCAGCAGCCGAATGGGACGCAGGAGCAGGGAGAGAAGGCGGTGAGTTACAGCAGGAGCAGGAGTGTTCAGCGCAAATGGCTAGCCTGTCCTCTCCGAGGCTCGGCTCTTCTCCTCAGCGTGTGACTGTTTCTGCTGATGCTGCCAATGCTGCTGCTGGCGAGTCCTTCTCTCCTGCTGCTGCTGCGCCCAGTGGGCGCGGAACAGGTGCAGTCGTCTCACCCGCCGCCTGCTCCCCTGCAGATGACTCTGCGGCACCACCGAATACTTCTCGACTTTCTCCTGCTTCCTTTTCTTGCGCACCTGCTGGTGCTGCTGCTGCAACCGTGGGTGCAGCTACTGCGTGTGAAGCGTGGGGAGCAGGACGGTGTGGAGGGAGAGCAGTCTGTGACCCTCCCCTCCATGCACACCGACACAGCCACACGTGCAGCAGCAGCAGTTGCAGCATCACAGCCAGCCTCAGTAGCAGCTCCAGCATTGGTGGTAACATTAGCAGCAGCAACAGCAGCAGCATGAGCAATCTGAGCAGCAAGGGGAGCGCTAGTCAGACACACCAGCAGCAACACCGCCACCAACAGAACCAGAAGCCACAGCAGCAGCAGCAGCAGCAGCAGCAGCAGCAGCAGCAGCAGCAGCAGCAGCAGCAGCAGCGTGGAATGATGCATGTGCGGCGCAGCAGTGACAGCAGCAGCAACCTCTTCCTCCGCCGCCTCTGCCGCTCCACTGCCAGCACCTCCCCCTCCCCTTCCCCCTCCTCCTCCTCCTCCCCCATCCCCGCCTCCCTCACTCTCTCCTCCTCCTCAACCCTCCCCTCCTCCCCCACCCTCTCCTCCTCGCCCACTCCCTCCTCCTCGTCCCCTCCAGCCCCCCGTCAGCTGCATCCCCTGCGTCTGCCCTCCGTCCCCAGGGCCTTCCTTGCACAACCGTCCTCTCGCCCACACACCCACCACCACCGGTCGAGCTCAGCGCGCCCCTCCCCCCACCAGTCGCCGCGCTCCGCGCGTGGTGCTGCGCGCTTCTTCCCCAGAGGCGCCTCTGTGGGCTCCGCCGCCCCCTCAGCGCTGGGATCAGGTGCGCTTGGGAGTGCGGATGCGGGTGGGGTTGGGGTGGGGGTGGGGGTGCGGTAGTGTGGGGATGGTGTTGGGGTGGGGTTAAGGGTGCAGTGTGAACAGGGTGGGGATGGGGTTGGGGATGTGGGTATGGGTGTGGTTGAGGATGGGGATGCAGGCGCAGTTTTGGATGTGAGCATGAGCGCACGTAGCACTCACCTCCCTGTGCACTCACCTCCCTGTGCACTCACCTCCCTGTGCACTCACCTCCCTGTGCACTCACCTCCCTGTGCCCTCACCTCCCTGTGCACTCACCTCCCTGTGCGATCACCTCCCTCGCACACATAGCACCCTCTTCCTTGCCAAGGGGATGCTACCGCTGACACAACATGCACTCACAGAGTTTCTCCTCTCTCCCTGTCCCCCCCCCCCCTGCTGTTGCACCCATGGCAGGGTCACTGCTCGCCAGGGAATCCCCGACTGCCTCTCCCACGTCTGTGACAGGTTCCCTGCTCCCTGCTTCCTTGCCACAACCACGGTCTGACCGGCATGCTCCGGCTGCTAGCAGCATCATCGCCCCTCTGCTCACTCCCCAACCACGCAGCTCCTCACACCACAGGAGTTATAGCAACAGTACCAGCGCCAGCAGCGTTAACAGCGGTTCCAGTAACAACAGCAGCAGAACCGACGGTAGCGGTAACAGCGGCACGAGTAACGGCAACAGCAACTGGAGCAGCGGCGGTGTGTGGGGTGGCAGCAGAACCCCAGGCCCTGGGCGCACTGTTCCCAGCCCCAGGTACTTTGGCCCTGCACATGCCGCCCCTCCTGCTCCCCCTGCTCCCACCTCCACCACCACCTCCTCCTCCTCCCCTCGCTCCTGCCTCTCCCCTCCCAGTTCCCTCTCTCCCACGCGCAGCAAGCACGGCAGCAGGGGGGAGGGCAGTGGCAGTGGTGGGGGAAAAGGGGCCGCGTTGCACCGCCGCTTGCGCTTCCCCTTGCGCGCCTTGCGCTCCCTCAGCCCCCCTGGCGCTGCTGCTGCTTCCGCTGCTGCCGCTTCTGCCGCTGCTCCTGCTCGGACTAATGCTGGTCCTGCTGCTGCCGGTGCTGCTGATCTCACCGGTTCTGGAGGGTCAGGAGGTACAGAGTGGCTGGATTCGCATGCAATCTCCACAGGAGCAACTACTAGTGTAGGCATACAAGGGAGCGAGAAAGAGAGCGAGATGGAGGGTGTGAAGGGGAGTGAGAAGGAACAGGAGAGTGCATCTCACGTAGGCTCGTTGCCGCACTGTGGAAGTGCGGCTGCCCCTCAAGGCTTCCCTCCCAGCACCCCTTCACCCAACTCTCCTCCTCCTCGCACCTCCTCCGGCCTACCTCCCTTCCACGCCCTCCAACCCACTCTACCTCCCACACACCCCTGTGCTCGTGACTTGTTGCACACGTCGCCCTCTGCGCCCAATACTCCCCCCACTGCTGCCGCTGCCCCTGCTCTGCCCTCGCCACTGCCATCCCCGACCCGGCGGCGGCGGCAGCAGCAGCAGCAGCAGCAGAAACATGTGGCCCCAGCCGCAGCAGGGGCAGCGGCAGCAGGGCATCGCAGGCAGCGCAGCCGGTGGCGCAAGATAGAGTTGTGTGCCCCGCGGCCTGCCCTCACCGCACACCACCGCGCCAGCAGCACAGGCGATTTCACCCGCCTCTTCTCCCGAGGCACACGAGGAGAGGCTCTGGAAGGTGGGAGAGAGGGCGCGTGGGAGGGGTGGAGAGGGAGCAAGGCGTGTGAGGGGTATGAGGGATGGCAGAGGAGGGAGGGAGTGATCGTGGGTATGTGTGGAGACGAGCGTGTGGGTGGCAGGATGGGGGTAGGGGAAGGAGATGGGGGCGTTTTGGGGAGTGGTGATGCGGCGGGTGGTGCGTGGATGGGTGGGGGGGAGTGGTTGGACTCTGGTGCTGCAGCAGCGGAAGTGGTGGTGGCGGCAGCAGCAGCGGCATGCAGTGTGTGGTATCATACTGGGCATGGGCATGTGCACATGCAGGGCAAGGAGGAGGGACAAGGGGAAGAGGAGGAGCAGGGGCAGGGGCAGGGGCAGGGGCAGGGAAAGGGGCGAGTGGGGTCAGATGGGCTAGGCGGAGTGAGTGGTTCAGTGGTGTATGGCAATGGCGCTGATACTCATGGTGCCGGGGCTGCCAGTGCTACCAGTGCTGCCAGTGCTGACATTGCTGCAAGAGGTGAGCTTGGTAACGATCTTAGTCTACGGTGGATGGGAGGTGATGACGCTATGAGGGGTGATTGTAACGAGCATGATGATTGTGGTGGCGTGCATGGTGTGCCGGAGGTGTGTGTGTTACAGATGATGCACAAGGGGGCTTGGGAAAGTGAGGGTGAGGAAGAGGATGAGGGGGAGGAGGGTGAGGAGGAGGAGGGTGAGGTGGAGGTGGAGTTGCAAGAGGATGAAGAGGAGGAAGATGAGGAAGAGGAGGAGGAAGAGGAAGAGGATGGCAAGGATGAAGTGTGTGGCAAACATAGAGACAGCAAGGAGGGCCCAGCGGCATGTGGTGGACAGCCCCCCTGCCATTCTCCCTCCCGACGCAACTTCTCCCACTCCCCTCCATCCCACCAGCCTTCTGCCTCCAAACCGTCCCACCTTCATTGCTTGAAACCCAGTAATGAACCAGACACGAGCATAGCGTGTCTGGCTGCAGGTGAGCAAAATGCCAGAGGGACGACGAGTCATGCTGGGGGGTTGGGTGTTGGTGACTGCCACAACCACCACCACCACCACCAGCGAGTGCGGTCGTTTGAGTTCATTGGCATGGTTGGGCCCCACAAGGGCCGCAGCATTGCTACCACGAGGACGGATGCGGCGGCGGCAACGGCGGTTGCGGTTACTCACCTCACCTCGTTTGCTTGAGGATTCAACTCGTTCTCCACTAATCTGTTCAAAAACTTAAATAACCCTTGGTGCTGCTACTTGTTCATGCCAAACTACAGTATTGTTTGGAGCATTGGATGCTGGTTTGCATAGGTGTATATTGATTGTTGAGGATTGTAGGCATTTCTTATGCCCCTTTTGTGAGCAGATACCTATTTGTCTATCATTATGAATTACTTTCTCTAGATGTGTTGCATTCTGAACGGTGTCTTTGAATTACTTTGAATGGTTTCATTTGAAGCGCAGAGCCGCAATAGCGGGAATAAACTCAGTGAAGTCTTGGAAGGGGGGAAAGGCTCGCAATGCCACGCAACTACATTTGTCATTGAACTTGTGAAGCAGCTTTGACAGCAAATATCTCCTTTCTAGCCCTGATATTTTCGGTCTCAGCCCGTAAATACACCTGATGCCCATTTCAGTCTCGTTTCCCATCTTTCTCTGTGCTCCTCTTTCGAGCGCGCGCTCGCTACGGGGAGAATAGGACTGTATCTGGGTAGCCCAGCGTGTCTTGTCTGGGAAACTCGAATAACTTATTCGAGGTCAAGAATATCTTAGTTTTGTCGTGGGCTAGTAACGCGCGGGCCGTTGGCTGTGAATGTCGACCACCGGGCGTATGGAGTGGCAGAAAGCTTGTTCAGAGTGGGCTGTTGAGTGAGCATTAGGGTGTATAAGGGCAAGTTTTCGAGCACCGCTGTTTACCAAGTTCTGGCCTCAAACCATCAACAGGCCCTGATTTAGAGCCAATGAGAAGCCTAGTTCCTTCAGAGATTCTTCCGTACCGTGCGAAAATGGAATTTCACTCGGAAACGGTGTGCAGCAAGCAATGAAGTTCCTTGGAAGATGGAAGTTCTACAGTAACAGTAATCCCAAAACTGGAAACCCGACCCGAGTCCACATATGTGTTCACACACACCTGTTTTCGGCCATTTTCAGGTGCATGCAACTTAGTCGAGGCGCGCTATTCAGATGCATGCTATCCCGTCGTTTTTCTCCCTCTGTTTCTACTGTTTGTACACATCCGTCAGGGGATGCAACCCGCGCAACACAAGCAGCACACGCAACACACGCAGCACACAAAATCGGCCTGGCAGGGAAGCCCGAAAAGGAAAAATAGAACTCCTTGAAAACCTGGACATTGTTCGGGAGGGATCAACCCTAAACACGCGAGCCGTCATGGTGTTTAGGGTTGATGTCCTGTAAGGCAGTGGGGAAAATAACTAGGGAACCTGGATTCACTTTTCGGAAGAGATCAACCCTAAACACGGGAACTGTCCTCGTGTTTAGGGTTGATTCCTCCCGAGTCGTATGCGTTTCCAATTGGGTATCATATTTGTCTGCCCGTTCTTAGTCGGGTGTGTTGCGATATGTACGGACCTTGTTCGCAGTAAGGCTGCGACTGGCGTGGTTGGACGACGAGTTCGTGCGAGAGCTGCGCCAGTTGGTGTCAGTCGGATTGTAGCATCCCCTGACGGAACAGTAATTTTCGTGGCGGGGATGTACATACAGTAACAACAGAGGGTGAAAAACGACGGGATAGCATGCACCTGAATAACGCGACTCGACTAATTTGCATGCACCTGAAAATGGCCGCGCCTTTTTTTGGGTGTTAACACACTGGCCTCGTGCCAGGCCCTCGTGGTGCAATCGCACAGAGGGGCGGGAATAAAGTATGACAGGTGTGTAGCTACAGTGGATGCCCATTCGAGGAACGCCAACTTCTTATCTGACGATGGGATTGAGCACATTTCGACTACCTCGCCAAATTCGCCACGGGAGAGAATAGCAACTGTCATGCCTAAGTGGACGGGTTGACGAAATATCATGTAGCATTCTAGAATATCTAGTAAAGGGACGGTTGACAGCGTGATAAGCAGTTCGATCTACGGTTACGATCTACTGATGTGCCTGTACGTGGGGAGCCGTTACCCGTGGTCGAATGCACGAGGGAATGGTTTTATAAATGGCGGAACAAATTCCACGGGATTAGGTGACCATCGACTGTAGCTCCCAAGTTTTCCAAGCTACGAATACGCCCGTAGAGCCTCGTGTGGCTGCCCCTGAGGAGTAGAACCAGGTGGTGTGGGGTGGGGACGTTTAGACTCACCCCCAAAAACGCACTGGTCACCGGATTCGGCGAGTTTGCAGACACCGAAAAACACACGTTGCGACAGGGTGGGCGAAACAAGACAAAGCAACACCACCCCCAACATCGGCGCAGCGCTGCGCGAGCGATAGGATAGCCTTCTTCTCCCTTCCATGCAGACTCTTTCTGGCGAGCACTCCGAGTCGTATTACTGTCGGTAAGCGAGTCTTAGTTTTTGTGCTACTAGGTTAAATAGTCGAAAGAAGGTTCTCTACCGCTGGTGGAATCATTCAAAAAAAAAAAAAAAAAAAAAAGGTCGGACGGCAGACAAGATGAGATGGAGACTCGAGCGGACACCGTTACTAGTCTACATCTTGTCGGACGAGTGGAGTGTCGCCGCCGAACCGATGTACTAAAGATGATGCTCGGTGCATGATTTGTTCTTTCAACCGATGCCCTGCGACGAGGCTGGAGGCGAGCACGGGCATAACCGCGTTTGTTGCCTGAGTTGCTTGATGTTCGACGCACGGCGATTCAACTTAGTGCGTCACGCGTTGCTCCGAGCAGCGGAGCATCGTCATGTGCAGAACCTGGCGCCGCGGTCGTGGAGCTGGCACTCCCTTCCACCCACCTCAACTTGAGGGTTGGAGGTTGAAACACCACCTCACCCCCCACCCCCCCCCCCCCCCCCCCCTCTTCTTCTCTTTTCCTTCCCCCCCTCCTTCCCCCGCCCGCGCGGCAAGATTGACTACTACTACTATCGTCACCCAGCCTGCTGAGTTGGTGGGTGCGCGACAGGCGCGCTAAGGCGGGCCACGGCATGGTGCTTCCCGTCATGACTCCCCCCCGCTCGCCCTTCCTTGCCCCTCGCTTTGGCAGGGCGGAGAGTCTCCCAGCGAAGCCCCCGCCTCATCCCCCGCCCTCTCTAGCGCCATAGCTGCCGCCACCTGAGCGAGCGGTGGTGCGAGTGGGGAGGCCGCCATTCTGTGGAATGTGGATGGCGAGGAGGCCGTTGAAAGCGGCGGGAGGGGTTGGGGAGGCGAGAGGGAGGCGGCGAGTGATGGCGAGGAGCGATGGCAGGGGGTTGGTTGAGAGGGTGGCGGTGATGGGCGTGGTGGCGGTGATGGCGATGGTGGGGAGCGACGAGGGCCTCACGCAGGGCGGTTGGGCGCAGCGCTGCTTCTGGCGCAGCAGCGGCTGCAGCCGTGGCTTCCTCCCCATCATGATGGCGCACGCTGCTCCCCTTGACCCCACCCAGTGTGAGCGTGTGGTTGCGGGAGTGTGGGAGGGTGCGGGCACGTGCGAGCATGCGTGCGCCCACGGTTGGGCGCAGCGCTGCTTCTGGCGCAGCAGCGGCTGCAGTGCAGGTGCTGTCAGTGCAGTCGTTGCTTCTTCCCCATGGCGCACAAAGTCTTGACTCCAGCGATTGTGTTTGTTTGTTTTGTGTGTGTGTGTGTGTGTGTGTGTGTGCGTGCGTGCGTGCGTGCGTGTGTGTGTGAGTGAGTGTGTGAGTGAGTGTGTGAGCGTGTGTGTGTGTGTGTCTGCGTGCGTGCGTGTGTGCGTGCGTGTGTGCGTGTGTGTGTGCGTGTGTGCGTGCATGTGTGTGTGTGTGTGTGTGTGTGTGTGTGTGTGTGTGTGCGTGCGTGCGTGCGTGCGTTCGTGCGTGCGTGCGTGCGTGTGTGTGTGTGTGTGTGTGCGTGTGTGTGTGTGTGTGAGCGTCACGCACGTGTGAGTGTGAGTGCTGCAGTGCTCCCAAGGCTCCACCAGGGCTGGTCATCACATGCACATGCCGTTCACATCATCGTCATCTCATGGCCTGGCTTCACCACAACCGCTTTCCCATCCCATGGAATTGCATGCAGCACAAGCGTCCCTCATCCCTTGCATCTCACTGCCCCTCCCTTTGCCAGCCCCCAGTGCTGCGCCTCACCTGGTGCTGCCTCCCCCTGTGCACCCCATTGCTGCGCCACACAGGGCCGGGGCTGCGAGACATGAAGGCGCAGTGGAGCAGTATAATACCTCGCGTCACCGACACCTGGGTGGAGAACGGCGAGTGCGGCGTCTCGACTTTCGCTCATCTCTCGTGCGACAGTAGTGGCTTTGTGACGAGATTGTGAGTGTGGGGATTGCCTGACACATGGCGCTCGCTCGCTCTCTGCATGAGGTGCCCACGACATGAGGTGGAACGTCTGCAGTCTTACTTACACGAGCATTGAAAGGCATCCGCTGCGCCTTTAATGAGGCGCTCATTCCAGATTGTGTAAACTGGATCGGTGCACAGTCATGCTAGTCGTTGATATGCTGCCATGTTGCAGTGATTCAGCACCTTCTAATCTGCATCCTCACACTCTGACCTTGGCCTATGTGTGGATGCATTGCACTGTGTGGATCAGAGACTTATCAAGCAACTATCTAACAGGATCGCTTCCCGAGACCATTGGCGGCTTCACCAAACTTCTTTACTTGTACGTATTCTCTCTCTATTTTCCATGTCCCTCCTTCTCATCCCCTGCCCCTTTCCCTGATGTGGGCACGAGATGGTTCGAGTGGAATCAGGTCGAGTCGGTCTCAATCCGGCAAAAAGTGTCAAGTGAAAGTGGACTCTGGTAAGAAGAAAAAGATATCGAATTAAAGCCCTCGTCTTTTTGTATTCGAGCCAGTGGTGTCCGACTCGAGTCAAGTTCTTGACTTGCGAGTCTCTTCTCACTTGACCTGCTTTGTCTATCTTCTGGCACATCAATGGCAAAACCGTGAAAGGAATGGGCTGAGCTGAGGTGAGCGTTTACAAGTGTGTTGGTGTTATTGTACAAAGGCTATTGACTTGAAAGACCTAGGCCTGCTGAATGAAACGCCTGCAGGCTACACGAAGGGTTGAGGCATCTGCTGCGCTTCTGGGTGACCCTCGTTTTGGCCTGCAGGTTCGGGCGTTATACTGTCAAGCTGTTTAAACGTAATTTTTGTGGCGCCTCAGAACTTGTTTGAGCCCACTGGTTGAGGAGCTATACTGTCAAACTGTTTAGACGTCATCTGTCTAAAGCCGCCACGCTCATGAGTCAGGCTGTGTATGCAGCCTGGGTATGCTCGTCTGGAGCAGGCAGACTTGTCTCGAGCCAACCCCGCTTAATCTACTTTTTGAGGCCCAAGCTGTATGCGTGCGGTTCTGGTAGAGATGGGGTGGGGAGATGAGTTAGCTCTGTGCTGCGGCATGGCAGCAGTGAGTCATTTTTGAGTCGACTCAAAAGCCCCAAGCTGTATGCGTGCGGTTCTGGTAGATATAGGGAGGTGGGTTAGCACTGTGCTGCGGCATGGCAGCAGTGAGTCGAACTGGGTCCGGCTCGAGTCAAGTGCGAGTCGACACAACTCGTGCTCATGTCTCTGGATGCAAGTAGCAAGGGCGTAGAGTCTGTAGGTGTAGGGTTGTGGTGAGGTGGGTGACTGAAAGTGGGTATTTGTATTCATGCTGGGCGGTGGTGATGGTGTGTATGAAGGAGGGGTGCCAATGGTATGAGTGGAGTGGGTTGATAACGGGAAGGGGGGGTGATGGTCGTATGAAGATTGTTGACCATAGACCGACAGAGGAGACTTATAAGAAGAGCGATTGCCATACGAGCGATTGCCATACGAGCGATTGCCATACGAGCGATTGCCATACGTGCTACCGAACGTTTATGGTTTGAATGTTAGTGTACTAGGCACTGAATGTACTTCTGGTCACGCAGGGGCGAGGGAAGGAGGGGGAGGGCTTGGTGTTGCTAATAAGGCGAGTACTTCTTGCTTGCCTGCTTGTGAGGGAACAAGTGCTTGTTGCACATCAAGAAGTCAAGGCTCACGAGTCAGGCTTTGCATCAAGCTGGGCATGTTCGTCTCAAGCAAACAGACTTATCGCACATCAAGAAGTCAAGAAATGCTCACCTAAGGAGGCGAGTGACGTGGTGATGGCATCCCATTGAAAGAAATACTTGTCTTGCTACTCAAATGAGGCAAGCCAAACATGGCAGGTATTACTCTCCGTGCCCATAGCTCTCCTGACTCAAGTGAATCAGCTATAGGACTTGGTGACAGTCAATCTTTCATGGATCAAGAGAGAGAGTTGCTCAACCAGAAATCAGAGTCGAGTTGGCGATTCGAGTCAGGGCACTTCGATTGCCCATGTCGTCTTTGCCTTGGTGCAGCTTGAATCGCCCTAAAATCGCTCCATCACCTCCCTATCCCTTTCATCCCCCAGTGTTCACTCTCTCTCCCTTTTCGCCCTTGCTCTCCCCCCTCCCTTTTCATCCTTCCCATTCAGCTATATAGACTACAACTCTCTATCGGGCCCACTCCCATCGACCTTCTCCAAGCTCGTTTCTCTGAGGGAATTGTGGGTTGAGAGGCCCCTTCCGCAGAGAAAGTGTCGTGTGCCATTGTAACGAGGTGACTTTTGAGTCGACTCAAAAGTCACATCGACCTTCTCCAAGCTCGTTTCTCTAAGGGGATTGTGGGTTGAGAGGCCCCTTCCGCAGAGAAAGTGTCGTGTGCCATTGTAACGAGGTGACTTTTGAGTCGACTCAAAAGTCACATCGACCTTCTCCAAGCTCGTTTCTCTAAGGGGATTGTGAGTTGAGATGCCCCTTCCGGCAACCAACTGCTAGTATGGCCGTGTTGCTGCAACACACACACACACGCAGTTCCGTATTGAGTTGGCAAAGAAATGTCTCCGGATATTGCCACATCACATGTTTCTGTGAGCCCACAAACTCATGGCAGCTCACGTCATCACAGGCCACAATCCAAATCTAAAAGCCTTTGGCTTGCGACAAGCCGGCGATGTGTCTCGGCACTCCCAGCTCGTCACTAGCTAGCTGTGGCCCAGCCCGTTCCCATGGAGCATTGCTGCAAATCTTCTTGCACTCCCTTGCATACCTTGCCCCTCCCACAATGCAGCGACGCCCACTCCAACAAGATCAGTGGCCCCCTGCCTGATGGCATCGGCGCTCTCACTAACCTGTATCAACTGTAAGCCACCCCTTGCAGTCCCTGCACGCCTTTTATATGCCTCGCTCTCCCTCTCCCCCTGCAATGTCCTCGCCCCTTAAACTCGCTCTATCATTTGTATCCCTTGGCCTCTCCGTACTATCCGTATGCTCAAAAGCATACTCATGTCATGTCTCAAACAACAGCAGAATTCGCCAGGCTTTCAAGTGCAACATGTTGCAGCTCATGCACGTGCACGTCCCTCCCTCCCCCTCCAACCACAACGTCCTCCGCAGCTCTCTTGTAACGACTCCACCTCCCTCCCTCATAATAAAACATCTCCTTTCCATCGCACATTGTCTCCTCTCCTTCACACAGGTATCTCTATGACAACCAACTGGAAGGGCCAATCCCATCATCCTTCACCCAACTGACTGCGCTAACCCTAATGTAAGGCAGCCGCAACAAAGAACGCCGCATCTCATGCTTGCTCCATACAAGGGTATTCACACTCCGACCGTCATCCATTCGTCCTCAACTCCATGGGGTCTTAAAATCAACTGGCATGAACTAGTAGGAGATTGGTTCGAGAGCGACACACTCGCATGGCTCGCTCTCAACCTCGCTCTCAACCTCGCTCTCAACCTCGCTCTCAACCTTTCTTCATCCTATTGCTTAAGCGTTTTCTCTAGGTTTGCTGCTACTCCCGACATGAATTTGGAACCTCACTGTCAGCCTCACTGTCAACCTTGCTGTCAACCTTGGTTCGGAGTGCTGCTGTGCTGACGGCTTGCTCCGAGCGGGGCCAGCCCATAATGGCCTGCTTCCCCACCCCACTATCCCGGTCCTTGAACCATCTCCCTTGTAACAGTCCCATACAAGCCCGGCCAAAACAAACAGCCCAACGCCCTATTTTAGCACTCTGTTGTTTTGACTGTAAATAGGACTTTGTGTGCCGTATGAGTGCAGTAGATACTGCGGAAGAAATATACGTGTTTTGTGAATAACACTCTTTTGTCCTTACTGTGTAAAAGGTTCTGGGGTGTAAAACAAGAGAACATAGCAGATACTGATAAGCCAATGATTGTTCCCGGGTACAGTCCGCAACAGTCCTGTTTGTCACGGCTCAGACGGTCAGACCTGGCTCTGTTTCGGCTTGCTCTGCTCTGCCCATGGCGATTTGGCCTGGGCTCGCCCGGTCAAGTTCAGCTCGCTCACGCCGTGAAACGAACGGGAAAGGTGTGTCGTGTCGGTACTATGCTATGCTCATGTCTAGCCACTGCTCCTCGACCCGCTCCTCCACCCGCTCCTCGACCCGCTCCTCCACCCGCTCCTCGACCCGCTCCTCCACCCGCTCCTCGACCCGCGGCGCATTGCTCGTGAAGCAGGCTTGTCCCGAGCTTGTCTTTGAGCTGCGCTCGAGTTCAGCCAATCGAGGCGAGTCAAAGCTCTCGTGTCTGTCAATGCGTTGCTGGCCGGCTGGCTCCCATGGCTTTCGTTTCCACCACGACGCGACGCTCATGCAAGGCTGGTCTCGTCTGAAACAACCTGCTTTCTTTCTGAAACCCTCACCTCACCTCACCTCACCTCACCTCACCCCTCCATCAGCGAGCTTCAATACAACCGCATTACGGGTCCTCTACCAGACAATCTTGGGAGTGCCTCCAAACTAGTCGCTTTGTGAGTTCCTCTTCTCATCGTCTCACTCTATCTGTGCCTCCTCCTCTCCATCTCTGGTCTTCCCCTCCACACGTGCGCTGTGACCCTCTCTGTGGCCTTGCTTGTTGTGATCTCCTGCTCTCCCGGGTAGTGTTTGGGGAGACATGTGGCTCTCACTCATCCCGTCTGTTCCTCCTTCTATGCACCGCATCCTGATCCAGCCAGAACATTCACCACCACTATACTATTGCGATGTGTTCTCCGTTTCAAAACCCAGCGTTGCTTCTGCCTTGCTGCCTCGTCACATCACATCGCATCGCATCACCACATCGCATCGCATCGCATCGCATCTCATCACATCACCCCAGGCGTGCCGGCAACAACCTCATATCGGGTTCCCTGCCCTCAACTCTAACAGACACAACTAATCTCCGTTTCATGTGAGCCTCTTGCATCTCTTGGTGAGCTGGAGCCATAGACATGACAAGAGCGTAGCGTAGGGCCAGGTTAGGGGTTGACCTGGGCCCAACTGGGAGGTCTTGAGGCACGGGCAGGGCCAGGCGCCGTCTCAGTTCAGTTGAGTTGGCGGTGTTGTGTTGCGGGGAGAAGTATGAAATCCGCAGGTTGGTGGTGCTTTGGAGGTGTTACCTTGTGGTGTTTTAATAAGAGAATTATTGGTCAAGAATACCACAAGCGTGTTACCTTGTGGTGGTTAAGATAAGAATAGGAAACCGTGGTTCAATTCGTGGCGAACCAATTTGCCCCAAGCGGAAGCAGGGCCGTTTTTTATATCTGCCCTGAACCTACCCACGGATGGTCATGCCTAATGCCATGCCTTGGCCCTTGCTCCACACAGCCTAGCCCCGGCCATTCACCAACGCCTGTAGCCAAATGTCTTGCGTATGGGTGGGCGGCGTGTGGGCCTTGTCTTAGATTATGTGGCAGATTAGACGAGGGAAGCTGCTGCATTACTCCCTCCCTCTGCTGCATGTGCGCCCTCGCTAGTGTATAAACAACCATCTCCCGCCCGCTGTTCCTTCTTAATCGCCCCTGCTCTTCCACCCCATTTGACACTTCCATCCATCCCTCCATCTCCCCTCCTGCCCGTCCCTTCCTTTCCCCCGTGCCTTCTGCACCTGTCCTCTCCCCCTGCTCCTGCACCCCTTGCCTGGCACGGCAGTGAGCTGGGGAGCAACGATTTGAGTGGAACCATCCCTGCCAGCCTGGGCACTCTTACCACACTAAGCACGCTGTGAGGCATGGGGCAGATGGACGGAGCTGGGGCAGATGGACGGAGCTGGGGCAGATGGACGGAGCATGGGGCAGATGGACGGAGCATGGGGCAGATGGACGGAGCATGGGGCAGATGGACGGAGCATGGGGCAGATGGACGGAGCATGGGGCAGATGGACGGAGCATGGGGCAGATGGACGGAGCATGGGGCAGATGGACGGAGCATGGGGCAGATGGACGGAGCATGGGCAGATGGACGAGCATGGGGCAGATGGACGGAGCATGGGCAGATGGACGGAGCATGGGCAGATGGACGGAGCATGGGGCAGATGGACGGATTGCATGGACGAGCAGACAGGACGGAGCATGGGGCAGATGGACGGAGCATGGGGCAGATGGACGGAGCGGAGCATGGGGCAGATGGACGGAGCATGGGGCAGATGGACGGAGCATGGGGCAGATGGACGGAGCATGGGGCAGATGGACGGAGCATGGGGCAGATGGACGGAGCATGGGGCAGATGGACGGAGCATGGGGCAGATGGACGGAGCATGGGGCAGATGGACGGAGCATGGGGCAGATGGACGGAGCATGGGGCAGATGGACGGAGCATGGGGCAGATGGACGGAGCATGGGGCAGATGGACGGAGCATGGGGCAGATGGACGGAGCATGGGGCAGATGGACGGAGCATGGGGCAGATGGACGGAGCATGGGGCAGATGGACGGAGCATGGGGCAGATGGACGGAGCATGGGGCAGATGGACGGAGCATGGGGCAGATGGACGGAGCATGGGGCAGATGGACGGAGCATGGGGCAGATGGACGGAGCATGGGGCAGATGGACGGAGCATGGGGCAGATGGACGGAGCATGGGGCAGATGGACGGAGCATGGGGCAGATGGACGGAGCATGGGGCAGATGGACGGAGCATGGGGCAGATGGACGGAGCATGGGGCAGATGGACGGAGCATGGGGCAGATGGACGGAGCATGGGGCAGATGGACGGAGCATGGGGCAGATGGACGGAGCATGGGGCAGATGGACGGAGCATGGGGCAGATGGACGGAGCATGGGGCAGATGGACGGAGCATGGGGCAGATGGACGGAGCATGGGGCAGATGGACGGAGCATGGGGCAGATGGACGGAGCATGGGGCAGATGGACGGAGCATGGGGCAGATGGACGGAGCATGGGGCAGATGGACGGAGCATGGGGCAGATGGACGGAGCATGGGGCAGATGGACGGAGCATGGGGCAGATGGACGGAGCATGGGGCAGATGGACGGAGCATGGGGCAGATGGACGGAGCATGGGGCAGATGGACGGAGCATGGGGCAGATGGACGGAGCATGGGGCAGATGGACGGAGCATGGGGCAGATGGACGGAGCATGGGGCAGATGGACGGAGCATGGGGCAGATGGACGGAGCATGGGGCAGATGGACGGAGCATGGGGCAGATGGACGGAGCATGGGGCAGATGGACGGAGCATGGGGCAGATGGACGGAGCATGGGGCAGATGGACGGAGCATGGGGCAGATGGACGGAGCATGGGGCAGATGGACGGAGCATGGGGCAGATGGACGGAGCATGGGGCAGATGGACGGAGCATGGGGCAGATGGACGGAGCATGGGGCAGATGGACGGAGCATGGGGCAGATGGACGGAGCATGGGGCAGATGGACGGAGCATGGGGCAGATGGACGGAGCATGGGGCAGATGGACGGAGCATGGGGCAGATGGACGGAGCATGGGGCAGATGGACGGAGCATGGGGCAGATGGACGGAGCATGGGGCAGATGGACGGAGCATGGGGCAGATGGACGGAGCATGGGGCAGATGGACGGAGCATGGGGCAGATGGACGGAGCATGGGGCAGATGGACGGAGCATGGGGCAGATGGACGGAGCATGGGGCAGATGGACGGAGCATGGGGCAGATGGACGGAGCATGGGGCAGATGGACGGAGCATGGGGCAGATGGACGGAGCATGGGGCAGATGGACGGAGCATGGGGCAGATGGACGGAGCATGGGGCAGATGGACGGAGCATGGGCGTGGACTCATGGCATGCACTGGGGTTCGTGTGTTGGTGGTTACGAGGAGGGGTGTGGCATGGTACATGGGGAGCATGGGATGGGACATGGTGTGTGGGACTGTTTAACTGCATACTGTGCTCGTGTGCTGCCCAACTTGGCCAAGGGGTGTGAAATCTGATGGAACCACACCACACCACACCACACCACACCACACCACACCACACCACACCACACCACACCACGCACCTCTTCTTGTCCAATCCATCCATGCAATGTGCTCGCTGTGTGTTGAGAACCCTCCATCCCTAGGTTCTCTCTTCACATACAATTTCGTATCTACCTCGCCTCCCACGTCCTGCCGTACCTGTATCCACATTGCTAACTGCATTTCTTGCTTACTCACACTTGCTTCTTTTCTGATGTATTTGCCTCTACGCTCCCACCCACCCCTCTCTTCCCCTCTCTCGCCACACCTTCTTTCCCAGAGACTTGTCGCGCAACAAAATCAGTGGCTCCCTTCCTGATCACTGGACTGCACCTAATCTTTACTTGATGTGCGCGTTTTCTTTTTTTCTTTCTTTCTTTCCTTCTTTCTTTCTTTCTTTCTTTCTTTCTTTCTTTCTTTCTTTCTTTCTTTCTTTCTTTCTTTCTTTCTTTCTTTCTTTCTTTCTTTCTTTCTTTCTTTCTTTCTTTCTTTCTTTCTTTCTTTCTTTCTTTCTTTCTTTCTGTCTCTCTCTCTCTCTTTCTTGCTTTCTTTCTTTCTTTCTTTCATTCTTCCGTTCTTCCTTCCTTCCTTTCTTTCTTTCTTTCTTTCTTTCTTTCTTTCTTTCTTTCTTTCTTTCTTTCTTTCTTTCTTTCTGATTTCTTTCTGATTTCTTTCTCTTTCTGGTAGGCACGGGTATTTTCATGTGAAACCTCTACTGGGCTACATCTGGCCTGTTATGTCAGTGCACGTGCCATACAGCACTGCACATGCACCACACGTCTGAGCATGCTGCATCGCATCACCAGCAGCATGAGCCAGCAGCATGAACCAGCAGCATGAGCCAGCAGCATGAACCAGCAGCATGAGCCAGCAGCATGAACCAGCTGCATGAGCCAGCAGCATGAGCCAGCAGCATGAGCCAGCAGCATGAGCCAGCAGCATGAGCCAGCAGCATGAGCCAGCAGCTAAGCTCTTCTGGTGAAAGTCAACTCGTTCCGACCTGAGCTGAGTCGTCTCCACAAGCACCAGCCTAACCCGAAATTGAGCTGCTTGTTCTCTTCACTCTTGTTGTCCGCTCTCGTCAAATCATCAAACGTGCCAGCCAGGTAGCCTTGCTCTACAGACCCCTCCCGCCCCAGTACAACATTTGCCCAGGTTTAGTATTTCCCCTTGCATAAACTGGTGTGTGTGTGTGTGAACAGCATTTAGGAAGACATCGGGCATGGGTTTGGGCATGAGCAAGAAATGACGCAAAAGCAGTTTGGTCCATACCACGTGGAACCAGAATCGGTTTGAACCTAGCATCGGTTCGGCTCATCACAAACCGCGCCCCGTTTCCACGAGCCACAGCTGGGCAGCAGAGCTCATTTTTTATTCGACTCAAGGTGACTTTTGAGTCGACTCAAAAATAGCCAGAGCTGGGCAGCAGAGCTCCGCTCAGCTCGGCTCGGAGGTTCGAGTGTATTGTGGCCTGGCCTCATCCAGGCTTAACCGGAACCGAATAAGCTGCTGGTGTGCTCATGTCTATGCCGCACTACGCCACACCACATGTCTGTCAGCACGGGGCCGCCTCCGGTTGTAGACGGCCTCACTGCATCCCCATGCGTCACTGCATCCCCATGCCTCACTGCATCCCCATGCTTCACTGCATCCCCATGCTTCACTGCATCCCCATGCTTCACTGCATCCCCATGCCATGTCTATCTGCAACGCCGTTTGGGATGCCGTAACTGCCTGCTCCTGCTGTGCCTGCACCAGCCCATGCACACATCGCCCTAAACCGAAGAATGCATACTGTCTGCATCCCTCTCTGCATCTCGTTTGCCCCTTTTTTCCTTCCTCCCCCCACTCCCTTCCATGCTAATCTGTCACTTCCCACTCATTACCCTCTGCTGCCTCCTTGCCTGGCCTGCACTTCATTCGGTTAATCAGCTGTTCAACTGCCTCTGTCTCTGTGTGCCATTCGTCTCTTCTCCTCTCCCAGGGACATCAGCAACAACCAGCTGTCTGGCACGATACCGGACGAGATAACAGGCTTGGTCTACCTCACACTGCTGTAAGGCTCACACTGCTGTAAGGCTCACACTGCTGTAAGGCTCACACTGCTGTAAGGCTCACACTGCTGTAAGGCTCACATTGCAGTAAGGCTCACACTGCTATGAGGCTCACAACGTGAGGCTTCCTTTCATTGTCCCTAGTTGTTGCCCCCCCTCCCCTGCACCCTGCCCTTGCCGCTCTCCAACCCCACTCCCAGTGCGTTGAGTTTGAGTCTAGTTGCAACACATTAAGCTGACTTTTGAGTCGACTCAAAAGCCCACTCCCAGTGCGTTGAGTTCAAGTCTAGTTGCAACACATACTCGCCTTCTCTGTGGAGATGAGTGTGGTGACGGGCTTTGTTCCGCATTGGCGTGCCCACTTCATCTGTTGTATCGGCCCTTGTCCCTCTCCATTAACTGGGCCCGAGCGTCTGTTGCACACTTGCCTGCTCGAAACCTGATAGCCCTGACCTGAGCAAGGGCCCCAGCCAAGCCGGCTTGCCTCGAGCCTGAGTTGGTTCGTCATTCATCCGAACCAAGCCGGCTCGCTCACAGGTCGAGCCGGGGTGGGGGAGGAGAAGGGGAAGGGGGGAGAAGGAAGGGGAGGGGTGAGAGGAGGGGAGGAGCGGGGAGGGCTCGCTTTGAGCGGTTCCGCTCGTTCTAGCCCTTCATCCCTCAGGTTGGCCACAGAGATTGTTGTACGGGTCCGGAAAATCCGTGATTTCCTCGTGGCGAGCTAGCTCTAGGCAAATTACCCCGCCACGGGTCGCTTTTTGACATGCCGGCCACGAGCTCGCGATGAGGCTCTCGGGTAGCCTCATGTCACCCAGCCGAGCACGCCGTGCCAAGGCAAGACGCGGCTGAACCATGAACCAATAGTGTACGACCTTGTGAGCTCATGAGCTCATGTGATGAGTCTGTTTTTGAGTCGACTCAAAACCGGGCCAAGACGCGGCTGAACCATGAACCATTAGCGCAGGCAGGACCTTATGACCTCACATCGTCCTGAACTCAAACCCCATCACTTCGTCCCCATGTATTCATACAGCATACCACTCCTGCTTTCCGCCGTTCGTTTCCCCCGTCTCCACTCCACTTCCCTTCCATGTTGCTACATTCAGGGACCTGAGCTCCAACCGCCTCACTGGCACCATACCGCAAGGTCTTGCAAGTCTTGGCAACCTACGAACTCTGTGAGTCCCCCATACGGCCCCAACTCAGTTGCCGTGTCATGCTTACAACAGTATAATTGCTTTCCAGGCTCCAATATGCGGATAGGAGTGCTTTCTCCTTGCCGTGTTGGTTTACACTCCCCATCCTTCCATTCCCCATCCTTCCATTCCCCATCCTTCCATTCCCCATCCTTCCATTCCCCATCCTTCCATTCCCCATCCTTCCATTCCCCATCCTTCCATTCCCCATCCTTCCATTCCCCATCCTTCCATTCCCCATCCTTCCATTCCCCATCCTTCCATTCCCCGTCCTTCCATGCCCCATCCCTCCATTCCCCATCCTTCGATCCCCATCCTTCCATGCCCCATCCGTCCACCTCTATCCGCAGCAACCTGAGGAACAATCTACTCACAGGGAAGGTGCTCGAGCCCGTGCCAGCATCAATTACGACGTACAAGCTGGACAACAACTACTTGAGTGAGGGGTTCTCCTCCCCTCCGCCCTGTGGGCAAGGCTACATCACGTACCACAGCAACTGTGCAGGCACACCAGCAGAGGGCCTTGCATGTGCAGACAGCCCTCAGAAGACTGACCCCGTCTGTACTGCCTTCTGCGGCGTCAACGGCACCGCCTCTCCCCCTGTGCCCGCCTGCAACGGCCATGGCGTGTGCGTCTTGGACGGCCCCAGCAACACGCCCACATGCCTCTGTGACGATAATTATGTGGTTGGGGAGTTCCCCGGCAGCTGCGTGCCTGTGGCAGGTGAGCCACTCACATATTGGGAATCATGCATCCGTTTAGCCTCCCATGCCATGCCCTGTCTCGATTTCACTCTACCTATGTTGCTCTTATAAACTAGAATTTCCCGTGACTGTTTATATCTTGATTTCACTCAACTTGTATTGCTTTTATCTCGACAAAGCTGATACCTCCTGGTGGCTTTATCTCTGTGTGCCCCTCTCCAGGTGGTAGGACGGAGCAGGATTTGACGCCCACAGGAGCCATGCTCACAGCCACAGGAGACGCCTCAGTGAGTGCAGCCACGCTCACTCTCACGCCCGCCCAGCCGTCCAAGGCTGGCAGTGTGTTCCTGGCAGCGCGCGTGCCGCTCTTCTCCTACCAGCTCATCGGGGACACCTGCGGCCGCCAGCTCGCCTTCTCCTCCTCCTTCTCCTTCACTCTCACCCGCCCTGCTGCCTCCGGCTCCGAAGGCTTTGCCTTTGTGGTGGCCTTTGATGCCACCCCGCCCACAACACCGGTGGCAGGCGGCATGGGGTATGCGGGGATGGGAGCGCGCAGCGTGGCAGTGGAGTTTGACACGTCGATGGATGCGGGCAACAGCGACCCTGACAGCAACCATGTGGGCATCAACACCGGCGGCAGTGTCACGTCGGTGGTCACAGCCAAGCCCAGCACCCCTCTCAATGACGGCACACCCAAGCACGTGTGGATTGACTACGACCCTTCCTCCAGTGGCTCCCTGCGCGTCTTCCTCTCCTCCCAGGCGTCCCCTCGCCCCACCAAGCCCCTCCTGTCGGCACGCATCTCCCTGTGTGAGGAGCTCGCCCCAACCACATCTGAGTACACCTTTGCCATCGGCTTCACTGCTGCCTCAGGCACACAGGCTCAAAGCCATGTCGTCTCCGCCTGGACCCTCTCAACGCGTGAGTGCACCGCTGCGTCCTTCATGCAAATTGTGCTCCCTTCTTTCTTGTCCTTTGTTTCTGGACCCTCTCCACCTGTGAGTGCACCTCTGTGTCCATCCGGTCAGCTGTTGTCGCTGCTTTGTTGTTCAATTCTCCCTTGGGTTGAGAACGGAAGGCGATGAGCAATGACTACAGCCCTAATTCAGCTCTTTGTGTGGTTCTTTTTTGTGTCGCTTCCTGCAGATTTTCCTGTCCAGCCAATTCCAGGTACGACATAACAGGGTTGCTGTTTTTTTCATTTTGCAGCAAGCATTAGATTTTCCTTCCACAATCCTCCTAATGCCCACTCGGTACCCTCTCCTCGATCGCAGATGCATCGCTGGGTTTTACCTTCAGTGAGGCGGCGCTCTCTCTATCGGGGATGAATCTCTTCTTCCGCTATGCCAGCTCGGGCAGTGTTGCTGCTCAGACTGGCAATGACGTGTATGGTGTGCGCCCTGCAGCTTCATGGTTCCGTCCAAACTTCACGTGGCCTGTCAGGACTCAAACCACTTGCGGTGAGTACTCCTGGAACCCCAGTATTGTGCCACACTAGGCAAGCACGAGCACGTATCGAAACCGGGCCTGTCTGCCTCGAACCAAGCTTGTTCGTCCCGTGTCGGGCTGCTGGTCAAGGTCACAGCCCGAATGTCACCACATCCCATGTGGGCCATTTCTGAGGCTCAATCAACTTTAACTTTAGGCTGCCCAAGACGGCTGGTTCGATCTTGGCTGAAAGCCGGCTCAAACTGCCTATCCTCTAGGGTGGTTGCAGTCGTTGCAGTCGTTGCAGGAAGGGTGGTAGAACAACTAGTCGTGAGTGTCTCAAGAATGTTACAGGAAACAGTGCGAGTCCAGTGAGTAGAGCTCGTTGTCACGCGAAGAGTGGTCATTTTCAGGGTGAAAAAAAATGTATGAAAGGAGTCTACGCCCTCTTGGTGACCATAATTCCTCGCCACATAGCATGTGTTGAAGATAGGCGGCAATCCAGGAAGCCGCTTCACCTTGAAGATCCACATGCCGTCAATTACGTTCAACCCAGGAGTAGAACGTGGGTGCGAGCCTGAGCACAGGCAAAACCAGAGCAAGGGGAGCATGGAGCGAGTGAGAGGTACCATGCTACATTGTGATAAAAGTGTCCCTACGCCACCCATGTGTTTTCCCTCTTCACAATGCATTGCTTGGCAGGCGACTGCTGGGCGTACGCAGTGGTGGGCAGCATCGAGGCGGCACTCGGCATTCTGGCCAACACCTCAGCGGCGCCGGTGCTCTCAGTGGAGCAGCTGAAGGCCGCCATGAAGGTTGGCTGCTCTGGCAGCACGCCCTCTCAGGCCTTCCAGCTGCTGCTCAAGCTGGCGCAAAAAGGAGGCGGGCTCGTGTTGGAAAGCCAGGGGCCTGCCGAAAAAAGCAAGAAGGCCGTCGTGAAGGCAGGCAGCAGCAGTCCTCTCTGCTCTCCGTTGCTGAAGCCACTGGCAAAGCTGCTTGGTGTGTCGTGCGGGAATGGTTCTGCTAACCCACATGTGAGTGGGGTGGTGGGACTTGTGATATCTTAGTACATCGTGATCAGATGTCCTCAATCTGCGTCACTCAAGGAACTCCGCTTGTAATTCGAGGAGTCGATTTATGTGCTGCTCTAGTTTGTTTCTCACTCGGTGCTCGCATGCTAGAGCTCTGTGTGCTCTGGCCTTCCTCCATACCCCATGCGTCAATCAGTGTCCATACCCCATGAGTCAATCATCGTGCATACCCCATGAGTCAATCATCGTGCATACCCCATGAGTCAATCATTGTGCATACCCCATGCGTCAATGATTGTGCATACCCCATGCGTCAATCATCGTGCATACCCCATGCATCAATCATCGTTTACACCTGTCCTCCCCATCCCCCTGCAGCTCCCCACTGGATTCCCCATCAAGGGTTTTGAGTCGACGTCCTTCTACGGCTGGTTTGGGCTGCTGCTGGCCGTGCAGCGGCAGCCAGTGGTGGTGCACATTGAGGCTTCCGCCGACACTTTCAAAAACTACGATGGGGTGAGGCGAGGAGTGTGGATGCGTTTGCAATCATTGCCTGGTAATGTCGTTCCCAACCCTCCCTTTCCATACACCTGACTCCCTAACACAAGCAGGTGGTGGCTAATCACTTCTTGCCTTGCCAATGTGTCCCTCCCCTCAGCTGTACAAGTACCAGGACCCAGCGTGCTTCACGTACAACCTGAACCACGTGGTGCTGCTGGTGGGGTACCGCCTGGTGGGCAAGGACTCGCGCTTCCCCCACATGGCTCCGCCCTTCTGGATCATCCGCAACTCATGGGGGCCTGACTGGGGCGATGGGGGCCACATGCGCATGGACATCCAGGGGGGGGATGGCGTGTGCGGCATCAACTCGCTGCCAGGCCTCTACCCGGTGGTCAGAGGTGAGTGCTGTATCAACCGATGGTGAGTGCTGTATCAACCGATGGTGAGTGCTGTATCAACCGATGGTGAGTGCTGTATCAACCGATGGTGAGTGCGTTGTCAGAGGTGAGAGAGTGCATGGTTAGGAGTGATTGAATACATCCCCCCATCAATGGGATCCTTTCACACACCAGTTTAACCCATCCCGCCATTTCAGGTTTCAAAATCCACCTCATTGCTTCTCTCCTCTCCCTGCCTGTCCTCTCTCTCTCTGTGCAGCTCCCAGTGACCCCTGCAACAAAGCCGCCCGTAATGATAGCACTGGTTCGTTCTTCAATCCATGTGGCAAGTTCAAGTGCATTGCGAAGGGCAAGACAAACGAGTGTAACTGCAACGACACGCGCTTCATCCAAGCAACCAATGCCGATGGCTCTCGCACATGTGCCTACAGTAAGCCTCTCTTGCCGCTGCTGCTGTTACCGCCGCCACCGCTGCCACTGCTGTTGTCAGAATTCTAGCCACTAGACCACTGGAATTAAAGAGTTTGTTAAGTAACAGGTCAGTGCGCCTATAACCTCCAAGGGTAGCGAGCCTGTAGCCCTTTTTTTGGATCATTCGGGCATCCCGAGTGCTGGTCTTCTAATTGCTTCACTCACAGGGATACCTTACGACACGGCACAGCAGCAGTGCACACATGGGGATTCCAACCCGAGACCTTTGCTCTGATACCATGTCAGAATATCAGCCACTAGACCATTGGGATAAAAAGAATTGTTAAGTAGCAAGTTAGTGCGCGCATAATCCCCTTGGCTAGCGCGTCTGTAACCATTTCCTACGATCAATCGGGCATCCCCAATGCAATTATTCTGACAGTTGTTGTCGTTGCCGCCGTCGCCGCCGCTGTTTGTAACTGCTTGCCTTCTCTAATCAAAACCACATTGTTATTTCATCCCTCCCCTTTCCTCCCCTTCTCCCCTATCCTCCTATGCCACCCCAATCATCCATTCCATCCCCTCCCTCCCCTCCTCAACTCTTCTCTCCCCCCTTCCCTACCAATCTCTTCACTCCCCTACCCTCCTCTCCCCTCCCCTCTCCTCCCCTCTCTCCTCCCCGCCCCTCTTTAGAGGATGCATGCAAGGCAGCCCAGCGCAACCCGTGTGCGGTGGGGCAGTGTGTGAATGACGGGGCGGGGTCGTACTCGTGTGTGTGTCCACCGGGCTTCAGGCAGGGCACCACTGTCGAGGGCACTTACTCCTGTGCTCCAGGTACCTTCTCCTGTGCTCCAGGTACCTTCTCCTGTGCTCCAGGTACCTTCTCCTGTGCTCCAGGTACCTTCTCCTGTGCTCCAGGTACCTTCTCCTGTGCTCCTGGTACCTTCTCTTGTGCTCCAGGTACCTTCTCCTGTGCTCCAGGTACCTTCTCCTGTGCTCCAGGTACCTTCTCCTGTGCTCCAGGTACCTTCTCCTGTGCTCCAGGTACCTTCTCCTGTGCTCCAGGTACCTTCTCTTGTGCTCCAGGTACCTTCTCCTGTGCTCCAGGTACCTTCTCCTGTGCTCCAGGTACCTTCTCCTGTGCTCCAGGTACCTTCTCCTGTGCTCCAGGTACCTTCTCCTGTGCTCCAGGTACCTTCTCCTGTGCTCCAGGTACCTTCTCCTGTGCTCCAGGTACCTTCTCCTGTGCTCCAGGTACCTTCTCCTGTGCTCCAGGTACCTTCTCTTGTGCTCCAGGTACCTTCTCCTGTGCTCCAGGTACCTTCTCCTGTGCTCCAGGTACCTTCTCCTGTGCTCCAGGTACCTTCTCCTGTGCTCCAGGTACCTTCTCCTGTGCTCCAGGTACCTTCTCCTGTGCTCCAGGTACCCTCTCTGTGCTGTTGTTTGCCATGAAGGCGATTCTCAACCACTAGCATATGAAATTGCCGGTAGCGACTTCGCACACATGACGTGTTCATTGGCAGATGATACGCCTCTTAACGGCACAGTGTGCGGACTATATTAATGTATGTGACCTAACCATTGAGTGGTGTCTAAGGGTGGACGAAGCCTTGTGATATGCCCTTAGGTCGAGGCTGAAGTTTATGGCCATGGGAGGAGAGGGGCTTACTGACAGGAACATCCAACTCGAGCCTTGGGTTTTGGTTGCAGATTTTCATCCAGGCCACCGCACTCGTAGCTTGCTTCGGCAAGTGAAAATCGAGTATCGTTAGATTCTCGAGCAGATTTGCAACACCTGCCCCACGGCAGATACATCGCAGAGCGACGGTTACGTAACCCTTAACGGCATACACCTAAACAGAAAGACCCAGCTTAGGTCCCAGCATCTTAGTGTGTGAGCATGCTGTGCTCTGCTGCTGTGCTCTGTGTGCCTCCCGCTTACTCACTTCTGTTATTACTTCTGTTGCATGTTACACGCTATGCTGCATGCAGGTGACACCAACACCACCTACACCGTGCTCTCTCCCAACGTCCGCTGCTCCGATGTCTTCCCGGTCTACGGCCTCACGCTCGCCGAATTCCAAACCCAGAACGTGCGTCTCGTGTTGATAATATTCAACAATGGTACAAGTGGATTGATTGGACCCAGAACGTGCGTCTCCTGCAAACTTGGGAGTTATAAATAATGATGCAAGCGAACTCATCGGACCAAAACGTACATCACACGCCAGATAATGCCTCCCCATGCCTGCCTGGGTGTGTCCGTGCTGTCTCTCATGCCTCTCCCTCGGTGTGTGCAGCCATCGGTGTCGTGTGCAGCACCCATCCCACCCTCCACTGTGCTCAAAGTGGCCAGCCCAGCCGCTCTCATCCCCTGCTCCGTCTTCTACACCACTCAGCAGGTTCCACCTCGCACCCTTCCTGCCAATACGCCATTTGCTCGTCTTCCTATATCTGCCTCTCCACCCGTATCCTTCCGTGCTACTCTCTGTCCCTCCCTCGTCTTCCCTCAATGGCCATTTCCTAACCTCAGATTGAACAGTGCTTTCACCTCACTTCCCATATTTAAGTGGAGCCCTCACACTCTCTCGCTCCTGCTTCCCCTGTCTCCTACCTCCTCCTCCTCCCTGGCCATCTCATTCTCAGGGCGACACCTGTGCGGACCTAGCAGTGTACTTCCAAGTGCACTGGTCCTGCCCATCTGACACCTGCAACTCAGCCTTCCAGGCGCTCAACCCCAGCTTGGACTGCAGCGCCAATGGCGGGCTGCTGCAGCCGGAGCAGGCGGTGTGTGTGGAGCGCATAAAGAAGAAAGTGGGGCTCATCCCGGTGTGCTCGCAGTACTACCTGGTGCAGAGCGCAGAGACGTGCGAGTCCATCCGCAATGTGCCCTACCCCCCTCTGGCCCCCAAGGACTTCTTCCGTCTCAACCCCGGCATCAAGTGCAACCGCCTCGTTCCAAACACCGACGTCGACGGCTTCACTGGCTTTGAGGTGCGTGTGTGGCGCCGACTTTGCTCATGGGCCTCTTTCCCTCCTTCTAAATCAACTTTCCTTTCTCTCTTTCAGTGTAATGGCTTGTCACCTCCCTCATGCGTGCTGCTTATCTGGTTCTCTTGTGACTGCTCTCTTATACTCTGTTCTTCTTTTCTTCTTCACTCCACCCCACCCACACCCTCTTCCCCCCCACCCAGGCATGCATTGCGAGCTCCACGTCGTACACTCAGGGCACGTGCCCGCGTGCGAATGCGTATGTGGTGGGGACAGGCGACAGGTGCACGGCCATTCAGGTGAAGTACTTCCGGGGCACCAAGGGCTGCTACAGGAAAGTCAACGGATACGACTGCATCGACAAGCTCGTCAAATCAACCCGCGTGTGCCTGCCCGACAAAGTCAAGCTTCAGAAAGGAGTGTGCGACAACTGACCTCCTGCAGCCTGCCTCTTCATCTACCATGCTAATCAAGTCTTGTTGATTCCTAGCTTTTTTTAATGGGTAGATGATGGGGCGTGCGTATCCTCCTCGTGGTGTCTTTCTGCACCCAAAAAATATTCTCTTTATGTTTTATATAACTGGTTAAATCATATAATATAAGACCTCGGGTCTAAAGTCATGCACATATTGTTACAATATTTAATGTTCTGTGAATTTCAATGCCTTGCTGCTAGCCATTGAGGGTTATCGACACGCTCTCAGTGGATAGCAGCCACGGACACACAGATGACATCTTGGAGGTGAGAAGAAACGAGGAATGAATTGACTAAGGGAAAGTTGGGTACAAAAGCAAACCCTAGAAAACTGTACCCCATATGTGCTACCCCACTATAGCCTACAGTAGCTATGTCATATAAATCTGACACACCCCCATAGGCAAAGTGGGGGAGAACAAGGGGTCACAAGACCAGTCAAGCAAAGCAAAGCAAGCTCAGGGTGGATCACAAAGTCACCACACATTCCGAGCACAAGTTCAAGGCCACAAGGCCAGTTCACATGCAGGATTACATATATATATAAGGCTAGACAAGCAAGAGCAGGTGTATATATATATGCAACAGTACAAACAAGGTCAAGGGGTGAGCAAGTGAGGCAAGGTAGGTACAAGACCCAGCTGAGTACAGAAGCGCTGATGATCACAAGGCGCAAGTGCCTTGGTGAAGATATCAGCAGTATTGGCCTCAGAGGCCACGTACGCAAGTCGCAGCTGACCACGCTGCTGTAGCTCACGAGCAAGGAAGTAGCGGAGAGCAATGTGCTTCGTTCTGTGCTCTAGTCTCTGCTCTCGACACAAGGCCAGCATGGCCTTGTTGTCTACGTACAGCACTGGAGGAGAACGAGGCCGCTCTCCGAGGTCAGTCAACAGGTAGGTGAGCCAGCGAAGCTCCTGTGCAGCCATGGCCCCGGCGTAGATCTCAGCCTCACAACTGGAGCCGAGAACAGAAGACGAGCGGGTAGCCCGCCACGAAACAGAGCCGGAACCAAGGCTGAAGGTGTAACCCTGTGACGACCGCTGCGTAGCCTGGTCGTCAGCCCAAGAAGCGTCTGCGTGCCCAGTGAGGACCACTGGACTCTGCCCTCCAAGCACAAGCCCCATGCCCGACGTACTGCACAAGTAGCGCAACACCCTCTTCGCTGCAGCCATGTGCTCCGGTCTGTGTCTCCCAGGAGCAACATAGCGTGCAAGAATGCTAAGAGGGTATGCAAGGTCAGGTCGTGTGCAGGTCATCAGGTACATGAGGCAGCCAACAAGCTCTGGGTACGGGCCACTCGACTCTACGGACTCATCCGGCGGCAGAGCTGAGAGCGAGTGGCGAGTAGGCAGAGGAGTGGCCTGAGGCGAGGAGTACGTGAAGCCGAAGCGCTGAAGGACCTGCTGCACCATGTGTGACTGAGTCAGGGTAATGGTGCGGCGTGCTCTGTCCCGGGTGATCTGCAAGCCAAGTTAGCTGCGCAGTTCACCCAGGTCTGTGCACGTGTGTCTCTTCTGCAGCTCGAACTTCACGTGGGCGAGTCCAGCAGTGTCAGCTGTGGCGAAGACCAAGTCGTCGACGTACATGAGGATGTAGAACGGCGGCAAAGAAGTGTCGGTGCGCAGAAACAGCGACGGGTCGGCAGTAGAGGGAGCAAACCCAAGAGCCGCAAGTGTAGTCCTCAGTGTGTCGTGCCACTCACGCGGTGCCTGGCGGAGACCGTAGACTGGCCGCCGGAGGCTCCACTGGGTGCCAGGAGGAAAAGACCCAGTGAAGCCAGGTGGGCGACGCAGCCAGATCTCCTCGTGCAGGCTGCCCTGCAAGAAAGCAGTGCTGAAGTCAAGAGAGTGCAGCTCGTAGTCGCGGTGAGCAGCTATGTGCAGCAGTACCCGAAGAGTGGTCATCTTCGGGGTGGGAGAGAAGGTCTGAAAGTAGTCAACTCCCTGCCGCTGACTGAAGCCACGAGCCACGTAACGCGCCTTGAAGACAGGCGGAGAACCCGGCGGCCGCTTCACCCTGAAAATCCACATGCCACTGACGATGTTCGCCCCAGGCGGGGGAACCTCGTCAACGTAGGTGCCTGTGGACTTCCAGGGAGCCATCTCTGCGTCCATAGCTGCCTGCCACTGAGAGGAGTAGGGACCCTCTATCGCCTCCGCGTAAGAGCGCGGAGTCGGGATGTCAAGTGCATCCGGGTCTCCCTCAGGGGTAAGCAGTACGGACACGAGATGAGGTGAAGCAGCAGCCAAACACTGGAACTCCTCCTGCCTGTCCTCAAGGACGTCCGTGCCAAGGGCACACTCACCCCCGACGGACGGAGGACAGACAGACTCAGACTCAGCAACAAGACTAGCAGCGTAGTCTAGACGACAGCGAGCAGCAAAGTCGACGAGCTCAGTAACTAGGGCAGACGCAGCAGTGGACTCAAAGGAAGGGTCAGTGACAACAGTAGCAAGGAGACGCGTGACAGTAGGACTGGCAGCACGAAGAGAGTCCGACTCCGGGTCAGAAAGAGCAGGAAGAGAGGACTCAGGAGGAGAAGGCAAAGGGGCACGCAGAGGAGCAGTGGACGGACGCAGAGACATCCGGTGCGTGCCAGGGACAGGAGGAGGACGCTGACGCGAACCACGACCACTAGTGCGAGCAGCACGGACAGGCGACGCAGGGCGAGACGCAGGCTCACGACGCTCCGCAAGACCTCCAGTAGGACCAGTGTAGGGAGAAGGAGCGGGCAGTGGGGAGGCCGGCTGTAACTGTAACTGTGACGGGACAGGCTGTGGACACTCTAAGGGAGGAGGAGGACCAGTAGAAGGCAGGAGACCAAGAACCTGCTGAAGGAGCGGAACGAAGTACGGCCTAGGCCGCGCGGCGACTCCAGACACAGCAGGGACAGCACCAGTACCCCCAGCGGCAGCACCAGCGCCAGCAGCACCTCCAGCTCCAGTACCTCCAGCAGCACCAGTAGCACCCCCAGCAGGACCGCCTCCAGGACCGACAGCAGTAGCCTCAGCGCCAACACCCTCAGCAGCTCCAGCTCCAGTCGTACCCGCAGGCCCAGCAGCTCCAGTACTCCCAGTACGAGCACCTCCGGGACCCGCGGCACCAGCACCCTCAGCAGCCGAAGAACCTCCAGCTCCAGCAGCACGCCTCCAGCGCCGGGCAAACCACTCGCGCAGCTCCTGTGGAGAGAGTGGCTCCCGCCGAGACGAAGCACCCGGAGAACCTCCAGGCTCAGCACCGCCAGACGCCACACGAGCAGGCCCAGCTCCCTCAGGCTCCGCACCCCCAAGCTCAGCACCTCCAGGCGTGGCACCCCCAGGCTCAGCACCCCCAGGCGTAGCACCCCCAGGCTCAGCACCCCCAGGCTCAGCACCCCCAGTAGTAGCACCCCCAGGCTCAGCACCCCCAGGCTCAGGACCCCCAGTAGTAGCACCCTCGGGCTCAGCACCCCCAGGCGTAGCACCCACACGCTCAGCACCCCCAGGCTCAGCACCCTCAGCAGCACCAGAGTCACCAGTAACCTCGACAGGCTCGACTGCGTCTACCTGGGACACACCTGAAGGGGCAGGACCCTGAGGGGGGAGGGGGTCTACCGGGGGGGGACCTGGTACAAGGAAGAGCGGTGGCGGGGGGAGGGACGGAGTGCGGTAGGGGAAGAGGCGGTAGTAGGGGACCGACTCGTCAAACGTGACGTCCTGGGAGGACAGAACACGGCGAGAGGTGGGGTGGTAGAACTGCCACCCTGGCGCGTCAGGGGGGAAGCCAAGGAAGACGCAAGGAGCAGCACGAGGGGACAGCTTGTCCGCAGACAAGTCGCGGACAAACGCCCGAGATCCCCAGACACGGAACGCAGACGCATCGCCAACCTTCCCCGTCCACAGCAAGGCTGGGGAGGTCTCCGGCATGGAGACCCTGGGGTGAAGGTTGATCTGATGCGCCGCGTACCGAACCGCAAACGGCCACAGAAAATGGGGGGCAGCCGCATGCATCATGGACGTACGGGCGACGTCCATGACCATGCCAATGCGGCGCTCAGCAATCCCATTTTTCTGTGGAGAGTCCGGAAGCGTGAAGGTCTGGCGGATGCCTCGTGCACGACAGTAGGCTCGCAGAAGGCCAGAGGAGAACTCTCCACCTCTGTCAGAGTGCAGACGCAGAACAGGAAAGTCCGAGCCGAAGCTCTGCCTGAGCTGGAGATGAGCTGCGCGGATCCAGTCGATCAACACCGCAGTGACATCACCCTTGCTGTGCAAGGGGAAGACTGTGGTGTAACGCGAGTAGTCGTCAACCACCAGCAGGAAGTAGCGCTCGTGACCCTGTCCACGGACGCGGGCCGGGCCCCACACGTCCATGTGAAGCGTCTGCAGCGGGGCCTCTGTCGGAGGAAACTGGGAGGAGTGAGGGGCAGCCCGCTGCCGCCCCTCGACACAGGGGACGCAGGTAGGGCCAGGCCCCGGAGGAAGGGGAGGGAGGGACCGGGGAAGACCAGAGACAAGGACACGGGAGGCCATGCCTCGGAGACGAAGCAGGGAGGGGTGACCAAGGCGGTGGTGCCAGAGGAGAGTCTCGTGAGACAGGAGGCGACACGAACAGGGGGCAGACTCAGGACCAGACCTGGACGCTGCAGCAAACACCTGACCCGACGCAGCTACCTGACCAGACGCAGTGACTGCAAGAGACGCAGTGGTCAGTGTGTACAGGCTCGACCCCGGCCGACGTGTAAACGTGGCCAGGTGTCGGCCTGTCCGAGCGTCCGTGCAGTGGGTCACCCGCTGACTCCCAGGAGTGAACTGGTGAACCCCCGCATCCTGTAGGTCAGCACCACTCACCAAGTTCGTAGAGAACGAGGGGAGGTAAAGACCAGACAGGGTGCCAGAGGGGGCCGCCGGACACGGGAGGACAGTGGAGAAGTGAGCAAGGACAGGACCCCCAGAGGGGTCTGCCAGAGAGACTGCAACT